GAACTCTCAAAATAAACCAGATCACCCAGCGTGCAGGTGTCGGGTATGTCTCATAGGCACATGGTCGGGACCGGTGGAGTTTCGACAGTACGTATCATATGCATTGGCACTGCAGGCTCGCTGAGGCCTAGAGGGGTTTGATTTGGTCGAATGCGCATGAGCGTGAGCTTATATATCACTTTTAAGTGGATTTTACCAGCAAGATTATTTGGCTTAGCTGGTGATGCATATTGTCTGTGAAGCTCTCTTCTGGCCAAAGAGCGCGCTTGCCGAAAAGGCAGCAAAAGCAAGGCCCGATAAGGGGTGGTAGGAAGGTAATTCGCACCCTACCAAGACGTTCACTTCTTGATCAAAGTTGGTGTTCGGGGGCTCAGTTAGATGATCTTTCCGGCAAGTTGAAATACGGACAAGATGAGACTTCTAGGGAACTCTAATCACCCATGCATTCACCGCTACCGGTTCCTCGGATTCCCGAGAAAGAGCCATAGTGTGAATCCAGTGGCGGGCTTCGAGTGGGGCAAATCCTCATCTGCTCAGTGTCATTAGGCCTTTCTGTCTGTCTGCACAACATGGATCGACTGACTAGACATCAATTGCCGAGATGCCTGTTCGGGGATCAGTGCATATCGCTCGGACTTCAGCGATAGACTCCTGAGGCTAGGCTTCCAAGACACATCGCAAGTTCTGGCTATATCGTGTCAGTTGAGACGAAAATAGTGACAGAAGTAGGGATTGTCGCCCACATCGGAAAGAAGTACAGAAAGACGAGTTAGGAGAAGGAGAGCCGCCTGCATGGTAAAGTAGTCATTCCCAATGCTGGCAAATAAAGTTGAAAGATAGACTAGATTGATGATGGAGTAACAGAGTGGCCTCGACAGTCACACACTTCAAGGAACAAGATACCAGCGCTGGTGAGGGTCCTTGGAAAGAAATCCGGAGTGATTAGTGCGGGAGTACCGGACGTTACGTTCTGAAACCAATATACTGATTTGCGGAGTAGTGTGAACCCACGTCGGCCGAGTACAAAGTCAGAATGATAATGGCTCTCGACGGCAACTTGACAGACTTCATGGTAGTAATTGAGTAACTGTGGCTTGGAGGCGGATTTTTCCGTATGACTGCAATCGTGCTGCAGGATTCTGTTGTGACTCAAATGAGGGGATCTAGACAGGGATCATGAGAGCCTCTTCTCTTGAGTGACAATATAGCAGTCTGTAACAAGAGGGGAAACAAACGACAGCGGATTTAAACGGCAACCGCAGTCAGGGAACAGTAATACTATAGCTAGCTCTGTTGGTTCGATGTGGTCACGGTCTTACATGACACGCATCTGGCCAAGACCAGAGCTGCATAGCATGAGGTTATCTGGAGTCCCTGTTAGAGCAATAAGTGCTCAATCTATTGATCAGTTTCCGATCCAGACATATATTTCACAGGACTGTGGGGCCGGAACCTGGATTGATTATACCGGTAACTCGGGAGAGTGTCAACTTCGAACAGAAACGCGCAGCAAATTGAAAAAGACACAATATGAGAAGAATTCTTCTCACAGGTCTAATGACCGTCTTGTTGTGTGAACAAATCTACTTGCATTAGTGACAGGGCTTGGTGGGATACTGACACGAACCAAAGTCTAAAATAAGCAATGACTCGTCGGATACACCGAAAAAGCTGGAGCAGTCAGGCACAGAACCATGCATCCAAGTGCCATAACATATCGGAATGACCTGGCTGGTCTAGAATGGCTACGGCCGGAACAATCAGTGTCAGAGTATGCATGGCTGCAGCCATTGTAAGACGGCCCAGAGATTGAAAGAAGACACAAGATGAGACACAGCTGCTAGATAGAGCAGCGGGCGCATTAGTCATGGTTGAAAAGATCATAATGCTGAAGAAATGGAAGCGTAGACACAGTGTTCAACAGAAGAGGGAAGAGGCACTCGTGGGAAGCAGCCGGAGCTGAGATAGCAGCGGCGGTGCAATATCTGGCTGCTTCATTTATCCGAAAGGGTTTGATCCGGATAAACATGCACAATTGGGCTTGACACTATCAATGACAGTCGAGGTTAAATTCCTGCAATAAGGGCAGACCAGGTGGGGGCAAGAGTCCCGTGAAGGAGCCGAGGCTATTGATATTTGTGACCACATTATTACTATTTCTGCTGCTCTTGCTACCACTAATAGCAGTAGTGTTATCGAGATGGTGATGCTGACAGAGTCACCAGGATCGTAGCTACTAGCATTATTAGAGTCCCTTGTGTCGATGCTGCCATTGTTGCGGGTGTTATCATTTTTCTCTACTGTAGGGTGAGCCTCAGCATATTTTAAAAAGCGCCCAAGATATGAGTCTGAGTATATGCTTTAGTGTCCAGGTTGCTGGCTTTGTGAACCGCTGCAGCGTCATTAGACAGGAACCCCGATGGTAACTGTCCGACATATAGCCTCATAGGCGGCAGTGCAGTTGATAGAGGCTGGACGGTCTGCCACTGAAGAAGGCATGGTATGACTGTGATGGCTTCAGTGACGTGCACAGTGGTCATTGTCAGGAGAGAATTTGTCTTATGCTGAATAGTACAGGCACGAATGGGACTATAACCAAGGGAAGGGTATCCGGCCTCGAGACCATAACAAAAGAATTTCAGCCAACATAGCTAATCATGTAGGCAAAGAATTAGGCGACGAATGCGCTTCTTCTAATCGCGATGAAAGAGGAAGAGACGTGAACCCTCATATCTGACTGATTATCGAATTGGTACCATTGAACGCATAAAAATCTGGTTTATGCTCAGGCTGTAGTACCGTGGGTCAGATAGAGTTACCAATTTGATACTGAGATGTTCATCGCTTTGCCATACTCAGGCCCGATGCTTGAGATCGTACTAATTGAGACCCGAGAAGCCATTGCCAAATCTGCCGTTGTGCAATTAGAAGCCAGTCGCCTTCGAAGTTTGTGTTAACTATTCATGTTGACACGACCCGCCAATTGGTCCAGATGTGTGCTCAAATTTCGCTTCCAGAATCCTTCATCATGATATAAGAGAACCGAGTACCTCGTGTATGCTCGCGAACTCCTCAATATCAGAGGAGCCACCTGATATTGACATTTGATGCTCTTGTTGTATGCAAGTTGCCCTTACCGATGCTCAACTATCTTCTGAGTATCCACCTCACATTATTTTTAGGAGCTTCTGATGAAACCAGTAGCAATGGCATGGACAGATGGACAAGGTGGTACCGGCAACGTAAAGAACTATGGCCTCAGTCATATCACGAGGAAAGACATGAAAAGGAAAGGGATGATCAAGAATAAATGAGGTTGTCAACAAAGAAGGAACGGGCGATTGAACAGAGCACTTGTATTCAGCTCCTTAAATATAAGTGCCATGGGGGAGCTTGCGGCCAGGTGCCAATTCTTTTCATCTCTTGTCCGGCAATCTCTTCAACTCCAAACCACATAACCATTTCCTAGGATCATACATGGTGAGTCCGGAGTGGGTTCGAGTCATGGATGGGGTAGCCGGAGAAGCCGTCGTAGAGCCACCGTCAATTTTCCTAATGGACGTTTAGCACACGCGGGAAACAAATTTCATCAACTAGAAATATGTGTGAGGTTGTTTTGTCTCGAGTCGGGAAGTTCATGAGTCAATGAAAGTAGCTGTCTCCAATATAAGGAGGCAAGCACATAGATGCACTTTGTACCGCACGTTGTCGGTTCTTCTCCGAGTCGGACCGCTGAGAGAGCCGAGTGAGAGAACAAAATGAGCATTAATGTATTGGATATGGCAGTGGGACCGGATGGAAGAAATAAATGTTTCGCATCCAATGATGGGAAGAATCCTGTGATAGCCACAGGGAAGTCCGACAGTCTGTCACCGGTGGTAGTTACTATGTGTGTGCTACTGCCGTTTGGTGAAGATGACCGCTTTCCACAATGAGCTCACCGCCTTTGAGGCCGCCGGCCTTACTGTACAGCGACAACTGTGGTTACTCATAACTCCGGGGATTTTCTTATCGGCATTTAATGATCAATTTTCTCAACAAAACCATAAATATCCACAGACAGATAAATACTTCGTACACATAGGAGAGCTGGAAGATAATCTGACTGTCTAAGTGAAAGGCATCTATGACAATGGGTTGAATCCGGTGACATAGCCCTTCCTAGGGATCTGCATCTCTCTTCCCTAAGGAGTATGACGGAGTTAGGCCTCCTTGCTTATTAGACTGAGTCCTTCGTTCGGTGGGTATGAAACCATGATGGATGATTGAGAAGAAAAAAAGGCTCCGAATCGGTGGCTCTCCGGTTAAGTGGTTTAGTGATTTAGTGGGCGCCGGAGACCGAGAGCACGTGCCGTGGGCAGGCCAGCTCCGAAGTCCGGACCCTTAATAGTGTTAATAGTGATATTATCTAATTTCCCCCGGCGCGGCCACAGCACTGCAAAGTCCATCAAAGTCCACCTTCCCATCCACCCCACCTCCGTCCGCCGTCGCTCTGTTGGCTTGCTTTCCGCTGGCCGATTTACTAGTCCGGACTTTCTTCTTTCTTTCTCTTCTTCCCCTCCTCTCTCTCTCTCTCTCTCTCTTCCTCTCTCTTTCCTCCTTTTTTATTATTCCTACTCCCCTTCCCCTTTCATTTGCTACTCTATCTTTATTTTTTGCATTGCACGGGGGTTTGTTAGCCCCTCTTTGCTTGTGTAGCCCGCCTCCTCCGTCTCCGTTGTACGTGGTCTGGCATCCCCGGTGGAACCAGAGAGCCAACGTAACTACCATCTCTCGGACGGAATTTTAGAAAAATCACCCTGTGCCTTGCTATATCTCCGTCTGCGCGGACTACTTGGAATAGACCTCGAACTTGCTGTGTAAGTTGATTAACCCGAGAATGAATCAGCTCCCCTTCTCTGTTGTCCATGGATCTTTAGGAAGGATAACCTCCCGCATCGCCTCTGTGCCGCAGCAATCCTTCTGACTGAAGACATTCCCCTCACAGTTGACCCTACACGATGCATATCAAAGAGAAGCTTTCTCAGAATGAGGCTGCTGGGAGACCAGGAATCTCATTCGAGTTCTTCCCACCCAAAACAGCCCAGGGTGTCCAGAACCTTTACGACAGAATGGATCGCATGCACTCCCTAGGTCCCTCTTTCATCGATATCACCTGGGGAGCTGGCGGCCGCCTGTCCGATTTGACCTGCGAAATGGTCAATGTTGCCCAGTCGGTGTATGGCTTGGAAACTTGTATGCACCTGACATGTACCGATATGCCCGTCGAGAAGGTGGATGCTGCGCTCCAGGCCGCTTACAAGGCTGGCTGCACCAATATCCTGGCTCTGCGTGGAGATCCCCCTCGTGAAAAGGAAAATTGGGAAGCCACCGACGGCGGATTCCGCTATGCGAAGGACCTGGTGAGGCACATTAGGGAGAAATACGGCAACCACTTTGATATCGGCGTCGGAGGTTACCCCGAGGGTGCGGATGACAACCCGGACGTTGATCTCTTGATTGATCACCTCAAAGAGAAAGTTGATGCAGGAGCCTCTTTCGTGATCACTCAGATGTTCTACGACACGGACAACTTCATTGACTGGGTAAAGAAATGTCGGAACAAGGGCGTTGCGGTGCCCATTATCCCGGGTATTATGCCCATCCAGACGTATGCTGCATTCATCAGACGATCGGAGTGGACGAAAACGCGGATTCCGCCTGATTGGCTGGAGGCCCTGGAGCCTGTGAAGAACGACGATGCCGCTGTGAGGAACATCGGTAAGCGCCTGGTCGCGGACATGTGTAGAAGGCTCCTCGAGAGCGGTCTCAACCACCTGCACTTGTGAGTCACCCTTTTTCGCCTATGCATTTTCTAGTAAGATCTGACGATTGCTGCCAGTTACACAATGAACCTTGCTCAGTCAACACAATTGGTTCTCGAAGATCTCAACCTTCTACCGTCCGAGGAGACACCTCTTCAGAGAGCCCTGCCTTGGCGGCCGTCGCTTGGTCTCAATCGCAGAGGAGAAGATGTTCGTCCCATCTTCTGGCGGAACCGCAATTCTTCCTATATCGCTCGCACGCAGACTTGGGATGAATTCCCTAACGGACGCTGGACTGATTCCCGGTCGCCTGCCTTCGGCGAGCTTGACAGTTATGGCATTGGTCTCAAGGGTACAAACGAGCAAAACATCAAGCTGTGGGGACAGCCTAAGTCTATCAGGGACATTACCCATATCTTTGTCGACTTCCTGGAAGGCAAGTTGGCGCGACTGCCTTGGAGCGACAGCCCGATTACCACCGAAGCCAACGCTATTAAAGATGACCTTATCGAGCTAAACAAGAAGGGTATCTTCACCATCAACTCTCAGCCGGCCGTGAATGGTGTGAAATCCTCCCACCCGGTATATGGATGGGGTCCCAAGAACGGTTATGTCTATCAGAAGGCATACCTGGAACTCCTGATTCCTTCCTATCTACTTGATGACCTGATTGCCCGCATCGAGAAGAACGGTTACCTCACATACCACGCTGTCTCTAAGAATGGGAACCTGCGGACCAACACCAATGACAGCCCCAATGCTTTAACCTGGGGTATCTTCGCGGGACGAGAGATTGTCCAGCCTACCATTGTCGAGACGGTCAGTTTCTTGGCCTGGAAGGATGAGGCATACCGTCTTGGTGAAGATTGGGCCAAATGCCACGATGCCTCCAGCCCCAGCAGAAAGTTGATTCAGAGCGTTGTGGATGACTGGTGTCTTGTTAACATCGGTGAGTGCACTGCATGCATCCATCATATGGTGACTAGTACTGATACGTAAACTACAGTGAACAATGATTTCCACAACACCAGCAGCCTCTTCGACCTATTCAAGGATTTGAATGTGAAGGATCTCGACACCGAGATTGCGGTCGAGGACGGTGAAACCAAGGTTCATCAAAACGGCGTCACGAATGGAGTCGAAGCCACCAACGGCACCGTTGCGAATGGAACCAAAACAGAGCTTCCAGTCAAGAACTAGAATACTCTGATCTCCCTCTCCCAATGCCCCTTTCAACAGGCATATTGACGGCCTCACACGCTTAGTCTACGATCGTGCTATGTATTCTCATATGCATGCATCCTCTTCAACCCGTCTCACGACTACTTACTAATTTCAACACATGACGACTACAACTACACCTAATTCAACATCTATCTATTCTCAACGACTTACTCCCGCGGCTCGAGTCAGGAACACTCGGGCCACACAACAAGCAACTCAACGAAACGTTTAACGGCGGCATGAACCGAAGACCTCTCAACGATTTCTTCTCTGAGCGATTCTTATGATACTTCAACATGACATCTTATCTTCTCACTCACCATTATCTCTTAATATTTAACATATACCCCTCGCATGGCATTTTTTTGCGTTTTGCACAACAACCCCCCATCGAGCATGGAACCTCAACGTTTATTCCTGTTCATCTATTTTTCATGATAGAGCTCGAAGCTTTTGGAAGACACCAGTCTTCTTATGTCATTTTCACCTTCATCGCATTCAAAAGCGCCGTCTAGCAAAACAATGACTCTGCGGGCAAATTCCACTTTCTTGTTTACGCACAGCAACGATCAAAAATTCAACACAAAAGGTAGGGTATAACGGAGTTGGGATCCAAACTTGGGAAAAACAAAAGCGCATCCTTTTCAACATGGGATAAGGCAAGAAATATACAGGCGGAGTCAAGCTAAAGAAAGGTTCTTTTTCATTGCTTCTTATATTTACCCCCTTCATCAATCTGCGCACGATACAATGTTCTGGCCACTATCGATCACTTTCTGTTTTTCGCGTCTCATCTTATTCCATCTGCCATCTGTCCCTTACAAGCGAAGGATCGATTTCGGCTGTTCAAAAGTTCTCGTGCTTTCTTTTTCACATCTAGCGGCGGCGGCGGTGGTGATTGTGATGCCTGTGTGAAATCGGCCCACCTGGTGGTTGGGGGTGATGGTGGCCGATTGACATGGCATTGTTGGAGAAGGAAGGAAGGAAGGAAGGACCGGGTATGGCCCCGGTGGGAGGTCCGGAGAAGACTGTTTCATTCGGACTGGACTACGACAACGAGAAGGGAGGATATCCACCATTGCATTGTGTCTTCTTCTCTTGACTGGAATATAACATCCACATCAACAAATTATCTCGACTCAACTGTGTCTATGTATCTCATCACCGCCGCGTAGACAACGAATGGCCTTTCCTCCCTTATCTTGCACAGACGGACAAGACAAACGCTCTACGCTTGGAAACTCGGCACTAACCTTAGCGCTTTTCTCGCGGCGACCGAGAAATATTAGAGCCTTGGTGCGGTACGTATGCCATCTGGATGTGAGTACGCTGTTTGATGCAAAAAGGGGGACCGATGACTTGAGTGAATAAAGTAAGAATGCTCACAAACCTACTCAATTGCCTGATGGTAGGCGCACCTTGTTCCTGACCCAGACTGCAATAGAGTTCCTACCTACTAATCGGACACCAGAACCGGTTTACCTAGTTTGTTTCCAAAGACCACTACAGCAAGATGCACCCAGCAGCAGCATGAAGGAGTTTGTTCATATTCGGAGGATATAAATGACATCGTGTGGCGTATAAGAATGGCAGCAGAACGCACGGAACGGGGGGGAAATCTCGTAACCCGTGACGTGACACAAACTGACCGTGTCACCCACTCTAACAGACGGAATCCGTTCTAGACACATTGGCCAAACCACATACAAAGCAATTCCAAAGGAGAAAAGAAAAAGCACATCGCCGGCGCTTCTAATAACTCCCCCCGCCAAAGCACACCCAATGACGCCTTGAGACCGCGGGAAAAGACCACCTACCGCCCCGTATTTGTCTGTCCAACTTAATAGCATATAGTACAAGCCAGGCCCGGATGACACCCATCAACACAATGCCCGACCCAGGGCGCCGAAGAACCACGCAAACGGTTTCGCGAACCAAATGACCCATGTACTCACGAGGACGACGTACCCCGCTGCTCGACCGATGATCATCATGCAGAATCCCAGGGTGACAATGTACAGCGCGGCCTGGCAATGGTCGGTCAGCGAGCGGACCAGGTCCTTGCGGGACGGTTTGGGCCAGGCGCCGGTGGAATTGTATAGGGAGAGGAACGCTAGGAAATTCTTGAGCACGAGGAGGCAATGCTCGATCATCATGAGAATGCTGTTGAAGGCAATGCGGACCAGCATCGCTTTGTTGTCGCGATTCACCATCACTTGGCTGTAGAGTTGCTGGAGCTGTACTGCGGAGTCTATGAGGACGTCTTTGATAAGAGTCCAGATTGGCTGATCATCGTCGTCGGTTGGATCCTCCGTGCTTTCGGGCCGTTTCGTACCGCCTTCGGATTGCTTCGCGGGGTCCCCTAGGATATCAGCATTGAAGTCCGTGACGTTGAAATGAAACACCCCTTCTTCTCGAGGTGTCTCATAAACCTGCTGTCCGTCCAGTTCGGCCACTTCGAAGCTCAGGAGTTCTCGAGGTGAAAGCCTCTCCTCCGATCCGTCTCGACTGATAGAATTTTGGGGAGAGATTTCGGGGCCAGAGGATGTAGTCCCGATATAGGGCGATACATCTGGAACAGCTGATGAGCTTGCCACCTGGACCACATTGTCTTGTACCAATGATTTCTTCAGCTCAGGGGCGGGCTCGAACACGCTTCGTGATACCATGGGCGGTGTGTTTCCACTCCCAGGTGCCAGGCAAGGTGGGTGATTCTGTGGAGGATTACTTCGCGGAAGACTGCTCGGGCCTTCTATGGTAGCCTTTGACGCCCCGGACGTACGGATGAATCCACGTATAGGCCTTGGCTTGTCCGACGTTCGGCGCTCGGGTTCTGTGCCCCGAGATTTGATGGTGGGTATCTGTGTTGGTGATGTTGTCTTTGGGCTTACTGGGTTGGGAGAGGTCGGTTTGGAGGATGGTGTGCAAGTGGGATTCTGCCTTTCCCACGAGTTTTGCGTCACTCGTCGCAGGCCCGCTGCGGACGAGCCTGCCTGGGACTTTGTCCGTGTGCCTGTGATGATCTCTCCTGCGGCTCGAGATGTGGGTTCCTGTGTGCTCGGGGTCTTTTGAGCATGGGCCCTCAGGTCTGTCATGGTAACCATAGTGCGTGTGATAGTGGGTGTGATAATGAATACATCGTCGGACTTGCGGGGTGGCTTTTGCTCGTGAGACTTTGTGGTCGTGTTTCCCTGAGGTACCCGGTTTTCTTTCAGAGGAGGTTTCGAAATATTTCCTTTTGAAAGGTTTTCTGACTTCTGTGGCAGTCGACAATTGGTGTCCTTGCACATCGTCTTCGGCAACTGCTTCGAGCATTGGGCAGGGTTCGAATTCTGTGAAGTTGAGTTTTGGTCTTGCTGAGGTAGCGCTTTTTCTTGAGCTGCTGGTGTGAGGGCGTGTGTCGTGGCTCTTCTTCCCTCTCGAGGTATCTTGGATTTGGGGCCTGGAATATCGATTACCCTGGGGCGTTCGTCCGTGGTCGAAAAAAGCAAAATTTCGTCCGGGTTCTTGTCGTTCGGTCCGTTAATCTCCTTGCATCCTAAAAAAGAGCCGTCGGCGTTCGCCGCAAAAGGTGTGTTGGCCGACTGCCCAGGTGACTCTTCCCAAATCGTGCTGAACCGTGGCTTTCCAATCTCATCAGGACTATAATAACGAGGTGGTTCACCAGCGCATTCGTCATCGTTCTTCTCATAAGAAGGTGGATCAGGACTCGGCTCCTGGCCGTCCAAGCCAATTAGTGTCTTCTCGCGTTGGTCGTTAGGAATGGTCTTGTCCTCAGGAGTGGTGGTACGGGGACTTGGAAGCGTCTCAGGATCGAGCATTGTTCCACCCTCCTTGTGAACCCTCTCGATGCTCTGCTGGAATTTGGAAATCTGCTGTGCATTCAAATGCAAAGGATTGGGCTCTCTTGCTGACGGCATGTTTACAACAAACCGATCCTCCCAGTCGGTCACGGAACTTGCAGGTGCTGAAATTGGTGATATTGGATATGACTGGTCGGATGAGTCGGTCGTTACATCTGTTTTCTCGGATGTCGTTGGCTGTGTGGTCTCAGTGGTCGGCAAACTCGGCCCTCGTTCTCCAGTATTTGGACGTTTTCTTTGACCAACGGCCTGAGTAGTCTCAGATTTCCAGAAGCTTGTTCCTGGGTGAGGTCGATTGTCAAGGTGTAGGTTTGGAACATCTTTCCGCAAGCCGACAGGCCGTGTATGCAACTTGTCATCCCGAGGTATACCTCCCGTTAATCTCAGCTTGTAGTTAGCAATCTCTTGCCTGGGTGAAGTAGCCAATGACACGATCTTCCGATATGCCTCTTGATAGTATTCCTTGTGCTTCTCTTTACTGCGCAATGGAGCTGGTATTTCCCTCTCAAACCTGTCTCGCACTTTGCGCCAGTATTGATCGCCGCCTTTCTCGGGCTGCTTAGGCGCAGCAAGTGACAACGCCCCCAAAGATCTCTTTGGACGAATAGTTCGATCGCTTTCTTGTTCCTTGGTTTCGGTCACAGCAAGTCGCGTTCCAGCAGGTTCTTTGGTCTTGTCGACGGGGGATTTGGGGAGTGGGAGCTTGGTGGGTTTGATTCTCCGCGTGGCGTTGTCTGTCATGGTCTTCGGGTCTTCAGTCTTTGATGGTGTAGATTGTTCGATTCGCCGACCTGAGAGCCCTATGGCTTGTGCTGGGGGGTTCGCTGCGTCATGGGGTCTTGTGCGCTTGCCACGGGGATTTCGAAGGTGCAGCATGTTATCGCTGTTCGGTAGGTGGAGGGAGTGTTCCATCTTCGACCGATGCTCAATCAGAGGCACACCGGCAGCTTCAGGCTGCATCAATACACCGACCCATTCCCTCTGAAGTGGATGTGATGGCGATATCGTTGATTCGGGAGCTGTGCGAGGACTCGTGTGCGGTAAGGTGTACAGTACGATGTGCTGGACGAAAACGAGGCTCGACGGAGCCAGGCGAACATTATGCGGGAAAGGCTGGGGAAACCAGTAATAGACGCGTTCTGCTGAGGAAATGCTAAGGGATAACAGGCGTAATGATATGGGTGGAATGTTGGATGGTCAAGGCTCGCCTCACTGAAGAATGTGTGAATATAGAGGCAGGGATGGGGGGCTGACCAATGCGGAATGCGCAACTCAGACTTCTGATACCACTTGGCATGGAAGCCGCACGCAGGTCCGAGTTTCAGTATGCTTCCTGCTGGTCGCTTTAAAATGCAAATTGAGGAAACGACGAAAACTCGATAGCCTGGACACCCATCAAGTGATCAAGTGGAGTTCAGCGAAATAGTCATGCAATCTTCGCTGCCAAACAAGTCAAAGTGACCTTCACTCAAGAAAAACACGATAAGGCCAAGGAACAAACGGTATTCATGATTGCGGATGATCAAAAAGCATATTGTACAGTGGCTGGTTGTCGGCAACTCCATTCCCGAAAATGACTGGAAATCTTCAACGCCGCCTGAGAAGACCTGATCTCAGAAACAAGGAAAAATAATAGGACAATTAAAATCAGATGAGCGCACTGAACGCCGTACTTGATGCTTGAAGAATGCAAAGTCACGAGGATGAGCCATGACGAAAGTTGTTGATATGGTTTGTACAAGAAACACTTTTTGCTACCAATCTGGTCAAGTGAGGGTTGGGCGTATATCGAATGCTTACAACAAGAAATGAGTTGTTTCACGGCGTGCGCCAGGTTGGCTCCGCCTGGGACCTGGCGTGGCTGGACTTTCTCCCCCGGGCACATTGCTTCGTTTGAGTGGACTGGACTGCCTCTTCACTGCGCTTGTACCACGCTCTTTGTAGAAGAAGTCCCCGTTACTTTGAAGTCGGCGGTCTAGATTCGCCGAGACCGATTTCCTTAAGGGAGAATTGGCGTGAGAATAAACCCCAAGGCTGCCTCCATCGCCTGTAGTGGTTGGAGTTCGCCGAAACTGAGGCTGGCGAATTGATGCAACTGGGTTGCGGACAACTGGAGAAGCATCGCGCAAATGACTAGGGGTTTGGAGGGCACTTGAACGATAAGTGGGGCCACTAGGTGTACCCGCTGCGGATTGCTGTCCAGACGAGAATCCTTCAGGGTCGATGTGTTTGATATAGTTAGGGTTTGGACTAGTCTTAAATCCTCGGTTGATGACGAAAGTTGGCGTGAATGTGTCGACCTTGTTGTGCTTGATGTCGGTATCAGATTCCGAGAATTGAGTTCCAACATCCCTCATCAGAGGCTGGGTCCGAGGGTGCACATATTTGGTGTCATACTCGCGGAGAACCTCTTTATGAACCAGCATGTTGTCCTTCGCCTGCTGCGTGTAGGATGAGGACAGGAATATCATCTGCACTGAAAGCAGAGCCGCCAGAAAAAGAGTGGTCACAATGGTAACGCTGGGGCGGGGATCAGACACATGAGTCGGTAGGAATAACCAATAGACTAGAACATGGCCGGGGCTGAACAGGCAGAACAGTCGAATGCAAAGAGGGAGAGGGTCCCAGACAGCAAGCTCCCAAACATCGCGTTGAGCATCTGGATGCGATCTCGATTGTGCCGATCCAGACATTGCGTCGGCCAAGTACCGCAAAGGGGACGCAGTTGTAGGAGTTGAGTCGACTCGCACTCGGTGCGCCGATGGTGTTGCGGGGGCACGATCAATCGAGGCTTCGAAGAGACGATAAAGGCGTTTCCGATAAAAGGTATAGAAAGCATTGGAGGCGGAAAATAGCGTGAGGAAGTGTACAAGAAAAGAGGTCTATCGATGAACAGGTGAGCGCCGCTGTTCAAGTTCGAGCCATATGGTAGGATAGCACGTACCAACCAACTCAGCCAAGGTGTGTTCTCATCGTCGCCAAACACATCATCTATAGCTTGACTGCCCGTTGTTTGACTGTTGGCTCGGGCCACGAGGAAAGTCAGGTTCAGGAGCACACCGAGCGGCAATGCCCAGTCTTTCTCGAATTGATCCCAGTCATGCGTATCGAATTCTTCGGATAGCCACAATAGAAAGTCTAGAGGGTTCAGGTAGGATGCGATGCGCTCCGTCAACGGGCGACGGCGCACTAGCCGGGGCATGGCGGAGGCGGCAGGGCTGCTAGTAAATGGGGATTTTGATAGAAGTGTGAAGCCAGCTAGACATATGGCCGGAAGCGAGTAGCTGTAGACGGGGGATTATTGAGGAGCCAAGCTCATGAGATGATGATTGAGTCGAAGCCGCAAGTTTTCCTCCCGGTTGTAAACAACAATGAGGGATACGTGAGTTAACTAGCGGCCGGCCCCGCTTAGATAAGCAGACACCGGGGCTTAACTTAGTATGACGACGTCCGATGTGGATTGAACTTATCGGGATCGAGACTCAACTTCCGGGGCCAGCTGTGCATTTGTTTCCGCGGGCCTTGCTTGGATCATTCGCAACGCCAGACAAATCCGGCCGAGCAAGTTCATCTTTCCACATCCTCCCTCTCCACGATAAAACCATGTCGGCCGCCGCCGTCTCCTACAAGGTAACCCCCCTTAAAGCACCCCCGCTTTGTTGCTTGAGCTGGCCCGCATACTGACCTCCAACGGCCCGATAGGAACGGCAGTTCCTTGCTGTCATCGGCGATGAAGAGTAAAGTCCCTACCTCTCATCTAATACTTTCAAGTCACTGCGACTGACCGGACAACCGTGCAGCTCCGTAACTGGACTACTCCTCGCGGGTATCGGTGTACGTGGTACCCCTCGAAGTATCCGCCGAACATTGGTAGCATGCGACCAGCAATAACTGACCCTCCGTTGAAGCACGTCACAGATGGGCCGGACGCGCAACGAAACTTTCTTGTGGTAGACTCGAAGACGGAAACCTCTGCTATCGAAAAAGCATTCCACAGCTTCACGCAGGAGCGACAGGACATCGCCGTCCTGCTCATCAACCAACATGTACGTGATGAACAGCGTGTGTGTGATATTCGCACAACATTCAACAGCGATGTCTGGTCGCTGATATCTACTGTACTGACAACCTTTACCCAGATCGCGGAGCGCATCCGCCACGCCGTCGATTCATATGCCGAGGCTTTCCCCGCGGTCCTCGAGATCCCCAGCAAGGACCATCCTTACGATCCCGAGAAGGATAGCGTGTTGAAGCGGGTGCGCCGACTCTTTGGAGAGTAAATCAGGGACAGGAGGGACTGGAGGTTGTCCACTAGGCACAATCAATACAAGACTGGATTTTCGGCCGACCGTGCTGCATACGCTTCCACTACTATCTGTTGCTCCTTTACCTGGTCGCTCCCGCACTGTTATGGAGAACGAATGGCCCCAGAGCGGGAGAAAGATACCCATGATATTTGTTCATAGAATTACACCTCATCTGTCAATGTTGCAAGAGCGTTGCTGATATTCGGAACCGGTCTAATGGTATTAGTTTTCTAAACTCTGACTATGGGGTCTAGCAGTTTGATCTTTGATACACTAGCGGACAAAGTCTCCTCATTTGATCTTGGTACACATGCTATTAGTACTATGGTGACAGGAGGCCCAACAGTGAACGGTCGTGAAAAATATGACAGTATGCTATGTCTCTGAGCAAATGCTCCAGAACGCCATAAATAACAGAACGCAGGGGAGGAGGCCAAGCAGTAATGATCGTGAAGCGTAAAATACTAGCTAATGGAGCACTGGTCAACAACAGGCAAAACAAGTGGACATAAGAGCCTAACTTGAAGCACAAGGAGGTCACAAGACGGATGTAAGCTTGCAAAACGAATGATCATGGTCGGCACAGAAGCTCGTGGACATTTAGCACGATCCACAGCTAATATGCATCATAAGATGAGTGGTGAGCATCCCAAAATATGCTATTTGCATTTAGAAGAGAGAGCCCCGCTTGAACTCGATGTTATGGGCTTCGAGGCAGGTAATCCGCTCGTCATCCACAGACATGACATCAGCATGGACAGTGTATTTGCCCTATACAATTGGTGCCGTAGGTCAGTGTTGATTCGTAGCAGCTAGTTTCTCCATGGTTGTAAAACGTACCGGAGGGATCTGACTAGGCAGGTCAACCTGTTTTCTCAGGACCAGATCGCCCTTGTTCAACGGGCATTCGAGATCAACATTGGTAAGTTGATCGCAGAGATCGGCTCTCTGCCTGATCAGAGTAATCAGACCGTATTTGACCTCGAGCAGAACGTAAGCACCCTTCTCGACCGGCTCCTTCAATGTACCACTGGCCTCGATCGTAAGAGTACGGCCACTGCGAAAGGTTAGCGACGAATTTCACGGGGATGACAAGCGGCTATATCGCAGTACGACGTACGGAAGAGGAGGATTCGGGGACAAGTCGACTTTCTTGATTTCGAGGACGTCGCCAGAAGGATTGGCGCAGTATTCTAAGGGGTTGTCGCCTTTGACAGGAATTCCATTGGTACTGATCGGAGACTGCGAGTTGAAGAAGTCGATTGACCGAGCGGTAACGGTGAAGGGAGCGACGCTGAGGAGGACTGCGGCAGCAGTAGATAAGAACTTCATGGTTGCAAGACTTAAAGAAGCGTGCCGTGTTGTGACCCAATAGAGTGAGCGCGATGTGGGCGCTTGAAACGAAGTGGGCGGGTGAGGATAAGGTATATGCTGTATAGATTTCGAGCAGAAGAGCTTATTGGGAAGCAAAGCGATGCACGGTGAGGAGGCGAAATGGAGGAGACGAAGAGCGGTGTCATGGGACGTACCTGGCTTGGCAGCCGCCGATGACGACGGCTGGGGGGAAACCCACGTGACGGTGCCTGCGCCCTTTCTAGTCCTTACCTACTGTTATTATTAAAATGAATTCATGGCCGATCTATTTAAAATCAATTCAAATTCTCGCGAGCTGCTGGTTTCCTTGGGATTCTTGATGACCTCTTCAAGTCTATTGTAGTAAGGACTACTTGCTATTGAGTTAAGATACTCAATCTGGGGTTATCGACCCACCACCCATCGCCCCAGAGGGCGCAGCTTATCCTTGTTTACGCATATGCCTTGTACTGTACGTACATCAATCTCCGCAATGCTAAACTTTCATGATTGACCACCATTCAAACAATGGCTTCACTCTTGAGCCTCTGAGACTTATGTATTAAATGTATTGATCATAAATTGGCTATTTACAGGTCCAACCTTTGCTTCAATGCTCGGAGACAAAGATACCCGCCATTCCCATGCCCTAAAATGAAACCCTCGGTCAGCATTGAGCAGTAATAAGCTACTTTACTGGGGGTAAACTTACGGTTCCGACACACATCGAGGTCACTGCGACTCTCTTATTTTGTCGACGCAGCTCTGAGAGGGCAGTGACGACTTGGCGAGCTCCAGTGCAGCCCAGGGGGTGACCGAAAGCACTAAGATCGATTAGCAGCTGATGCATCGGAGAAAAGCCATGTTGACTTACATAGCACCACCTCGAGGGTTAACTTTGGCCTCGTCCAAGGCTAGCTTCTGCACACAGTACGTTCCCTACATGGCAAGTTAGTCCTTGATCGTGTTTTCATGGAGTGAAAGTGCCCGTACCATCGATGCAAAAGCCTCGTTGATCTCGAAAATATCAATCTCCTCCTTCGATAACCCGAACTTGGAAAGGATCTTGGGGATAGCGATGGATGGTCCGATGCCCATGATTCTGGGCTCCAAGCCGGCCACGGTAGCGCCGCAGAACTTGGCCACAATAGGTTGACCGAGTTCTTGGGCGCGGGAACGCTTCATGAGAATCAGACCTGCGGCACCATCGGTGATCTGACTGGCGTTTCCACCCGTGGTAGCGCTAGGTTTCCACTGGGGAAAGGCGGAGCGAATCTTGCCCAGCGACTCCGCCGTCGTGCCATACCGAATACCATCATCGCGATCCACAATGATATCTTTCACCTCACCAGTCTTGGGGTCCTTGATTTGAGTCTTGACGGGGACAATCTCGTCCTCAAACCAGCCTGACTTCTGAGCGTGTTCGGCTTTCTGGTAGCTCTTTGCCGCGAACTGGTCGTGCTGTTCACGGGAGATGTTGAATTGGGCGGCAACGTTCTCGGACGTTTGACCCATGGGCTGTGCATTTTGGGAAGCAATAGGGTGCGAAGTGACCTGGGAGGACATCTCAGGCGCGCCTCCATCAGCATTGGTACTCATGCTCTCCGCTCCAACCGCAATGCCGACGTCAATGGATCCAGCGATAATCTGGTTGGCGATATTCTGGATGGCCAGCAATCCAGAAGAACAGAAACGGTTGGCAACAGAAGCAGCTGCAGTTACTGGAAATCCTGCAGCCAATACTGCAGAGCGTGCGACATAGGCGGAACCGGGGCACAAGACATTTCCGACACAAACATCTTCAACGAGATTGGGATCCAGTTTAGATTTTTCGCGGATAGACTAATGAAGAATGCGGTCAGCTGATGGGCAAGTGGTGCAAGCAGACACAAGCAACATACTGTGAGCAACGAGATCAAGAGGTTGTCAAGTGTGGTGTCCTTAAGCCCGCCCTTTCTAGCTTTTGTGAGGGCAGTTCTGGCGGCAAATGTGATCACCTAAGATCTTCAAGTCAGCTTCGGTTTATAACCCAGGTCGCAAAGGGTTGTTGTAGTGCCATACAATATCGTCAGGGTTCTGGGACAGGAGCTTCTGCCTGGCAGAGGCAGCTGCCGGGCTGGCAAGCTGGTTTGCGATCGAGGATAACCGTTGCTGAGGGGAAGACATTGTGCTCGTTCTATGTCTTTCTTCTTTCCCGCTAAAGATAGAAGAAACTCTTTGCCAGACTATTGTGGGTTGCGGTAGGTATATGGCAGTCAGAAGTCAGAGCAAAGAAACAATAGGATGGTGATCCAGGCACTCATCCCTAGGAGTTGGGATTGTTTTATTAAGCTGGGGCAAACCGCCGCCAGACAAACAGCCGCGGCTCCAACAACCACAGGGAAAGCCAGATGCAGAAAAGCAGCCGAGCCGAGATCGGGTTAGGGAGTGGGAGCGACCAGTCTTGCAATGCCGATCGAGCGGGTCTGCTGTATCCAGTGTATCCACCTTGCCCCCCTCATGAAGTTTTCTCCGCCAACCTTTTACGTACAGGTGTGAGTTGGTCTGTGATGTGATTCATGGAAAGGCCGGGTGAGCATCGAGGCAGTTCAGAAGGCCGATACGCATTTCAAGCCGAGGCGTGAGTGGTTCGCTGTAGCGTGTGGTAAGATTGGTAAGAATGGTATAATTGGTAAAATACGGTAAGTCCCGTCGGCCTCGGCTCAGTCGGTTGTCGGTCCCTCCGCAATCTTGACTTGTCTCCTCTCCGGATTTCCATTCTCATTAGGAACTCTTCTCTGAGTCCTCCCCGCGCGAACCTGTCAGTTGCGGGTCAGGTTTCAAGGTTATCTTGTCAGATACCCCATGCAGCAAAATAATCCACGGGATTCATTATGGCCATTGATGATATAGGGATAGGAGAGGGCGACTTTGGCAACATGCCCCGACCCCGACGATCCGACGTTGATTATCAACCACTAACTACACCATTCGAGACGATAGAACTGGAGTCTGCCATCTCTGGCTCAGCTGTTGTGACGAAATGGAACTATACTCGCACTGCAGTCAAACAGTCAGATCATTTTATCCCAACATGATTCCATACAAAGCATGATCTATCTATTCCTCGGAATCTGCAGCAGACGTGCCCATGGACAGTGGGGGGGGGGGGTTATCGATGTTATCGATAACTTAGCCTGCATGGATCCGACTGGACTGTTAATTACCGCTTCGTTCTGAACGGTTGCTTAGATAGACTAACTCTGGTAGTTAGTTACAGTACCGCCGTACAGGCGAACGGCAGTTCCCAGCTGCTTGTCTCCCGACCCCAGATTCCGAACTTTCTGATAGCCCCATTCGTCATTCGGATGCCTTTAATTGTTAATTACCCCGGATCTTGACTTCTTGATGTTGTTTTTCTTAGAGAACTGGACTGTTCCGACACAATTGAGGCCCGTGTCATTGATACATAGCCTCTAAAACCATCAAACGCAGCGGTCACTGCTCAAGTCTCTCTCATACACATCCACACACCCCAAGCTACCAAGGCTGGGTATCATAACCGTCAGCATGGAGCTCTTCTCGGAGATAAGCACATCTTCTCTTGCTATCGCATCTGCCCTCTCTGTCGCGGCAGGTGCATACCTTAATGCCAAATACTCCATTGCCAGTGATATCTCGGCGCTGTACAAAGATAGATCATGGACAAATCGTTTGGGTCAACGCATCGCGCAGCTAGGCGATACGGCCACCATCTACAAGATGCTCGAAAGAGTCGTCGAAGTAGAAGGTCACGGCGCAGACGAGGCACTTTGGTTTGAGAACAAGACTTGGACATATGCACAATTGAAGGATTGTATGTGAACCCAACTATTATCACCGAGGTGCTTCGGTCCGGCTAACCTTATGCGACAGTGGTTGATCGATTCGCTGCTCTTCTTCACGCCAGGAGTATAGGCCCAGGAGACTTCGTGGGCGTCTTCACCACTAATTCCCCGGAGATGGTCGTGACCATCTACGCACTCTCGAAACTCGGAGCTGTTGCTGCTCTCATCAATACAAATCTGCGTGGTAAGGATACGTGATGAGAAAGTCTGATCGAAGTTGGGGCTGATTGTAGCTGGGCAGATGACACCTTCACTCACTGCCTCAGTGTCTCCGGCAGCAAGTTCATTATCTCGACACCCGATTTGTCGCAACATGTCTGCTCGGATTTACCACATCTCGCTTTCAACCTGACATCCTTCGAAGGAGTTTCTTCCGGTACAGCAGAACTTATTACATCAGCAGACTTGCAGCATTTTACTCCGACGGGGTTGCTCGCTGCTAAGAGATCTCCTAGTGACCTGAGCGCACTCATCTACACCTCGGGTACCACGGGCAAGCCCAAAGCTTGCGCTATTCGCAACATGATGGGGCTAATCACATCCAACCCCCAGACGGTCGATATCAACAACCGCTCCAAGTACTATCCTCTACGGACTTACTCCTCCCTTCCCCTCTTCCATGGAACTGCTTACTTTACTGGTATCTGTTATTCCGTTGGAAATGCCGGTACGCTCTGCCTCCGGCGCAAGTTCTCCGCTTCGCAATTCTGGAAGGACGTGCATGATGCGCGAGCCACACGCATTCTATACATTGGTGAACTCTGTCGGTATCTCCTATCGACACCTCCTTCCCCTTACGACCGCAACCACGCATGCATAGTCGCCAACGGCAATGGTTTGCGTGGAGAGATCTGGGAGCGTTTCCGCCAACGGTTCGGCGTGCCTGAGATCCGCGAATTCTATAGATCCACAGAAGGCGTGGCCAAGTTTGATAATTTCGGAGAGGGCGCGTGGGCCGCCGGCAAGGTTGGACATTCGGGCTTCATCAAGCGTGTGATGGAAAACGATACCTATATTGTCAAGTATGACACGGAGACCGAAATGCCCTACCGGGATCCTAAGACAGGCTTCTGCGTGAAAGCCAGACTCGGCGAGGAAGGAGAGGCGATCGGGCGGGTGAAGAGCCGCGGCCTCCTCACCGAATACCTCCACAACAATGAAGCTACGGAGAAAAAGTTGCTGCGCGATGTGTTTGAGAAAGGGGATCTGTTCCAACGCACCGGAGATCTGGTGGTTCGGGATCACGACGGCTGGGTAAGGTTCCAAGACCGCGTGGGCGACACGTTCCGCTGGAAGGGCGAGAACGTGAGTGCGGGCGAGATTCGAGATCACATCTGCCGGCTTCCGGTCGTCCACGATGCCGTGGTATACGGTGTGAAGTTGAGCGCGTATGTTATTGGATTCCCGGGGCGACTGCCATTCCTCAATCTGAATGTGCTTCCATGCTGACGAGTGGCTCTTACTAGGTATGACGGCCAGGCTGGTGCTGCGGGTATCACACTCGAGGATGCTTCACCTGCCACCGAGACAGAAGTCATGGCCAACCTCTATCCCGAGTTGAAGAAGAGGGGAGTGCCGTCTTATGCCTTCCCTCGGCTAATCCGGCTCACACAGAAGTAAGCTCCCCGCTGTTCTTCCAAGTTCATTGAAAGCAGGGAGTAGCCGCTGACATTCTGCCAGGGTGGAAACCGGAGTCACGTTCAAGCAAGCCAAAGGCGCTCTGACTAAGAAGGGATGGGACCCACGAACGGACTGGGACGGTGACAAACTGTACTGGCTGGATGGCACCCAGTACAAGAAGCTCGATGAGAAGAGCTGGTTATCTATAGAAAGTGGACAGGCCAAGCTGTGATGAGTGCGTGGGGCAGGAGGAGGCAGTCAGTTTTCTTTTTCTTCGAGGCTATTTGGGTGGCGTACTGTGCAGATCCGACCTCGTACTCAGATGCATAGATGCAATTATATAGTGTGGATAATAGCCGGTCTAGTCTCGAACAATATGATTTGACAACATCGATCGCCCAAGATTGGCTGCCATGCACCCATCATTGCAGGCGTAAAGACCCGGGGGAGTGGCTGCCTGAAAACGGAAATGTTTGTGCATGGGCGCCCACCAGAATGTAACCACTCGCAATGCGATCGCAACAACTCGCCATCGCCTAGGTTTTCCACTGCCTCCATCCTTGTTCGTTGACGAATTCTGCGGAAGGCAAATTTCAACTGAATCGACGAAATATCATTAGTGCCTTCGCATCTGCGCAGACTCTTCTCTCCAATGCTTGTTACGCTCAATTGGTCCAATCCTTCAGCACACCTGCAGTCAAGTTGCCTCTCAGCTTGGTCGTTGGCCTCTGGAAGAGAGAAAAAAGAAAGCCTAAACAAGACACCACGAATCCACTTAAAATCCTCCGTTGACTTACTCGTTGCCCTCGACCGTGCCAATCACCTTATCTGCTCTTATCACGCTTGACGATCTTAGACGCGGGGTTCCAGTCCCTCCAGCCAGTCAGTCGCCCGTATAAATTCCCTGCAGAGCGCACTATTCTCTAGCGCATTGAAAAAGGACAGAAATTTTCGTCCTGCGATTGAAAAACGAAAAAGAAAAAAAAGAAGGGGGAAAACACCCGAAAATGGCTTTAACAGGTGTTCCCGTTGACGATTCATCGTTGAAGCATGGACTGAAGCCGATCAATGTTGACATCGTCCATGAACTACAAGACAGTCCTACAGACAGCGGCGGCGAACAAGAGCAGCAGCGAGCACCCGACTCGTTCGACGCTCAGTATCGCACGACAAGATGGGAGATCTGGGCCTATTATGCGTGCGTGGAGTATGATCTCCTGGCGAATTGATTGCTAAACAAATCCTCCGGACCACTTTTTTTAGTTACTATATCGGTAACAATGGGTTATCCTTGTTCAGTGAGACTCTCTTCTTCCCCCAACTGGCGCTGCAGAAAAGAAAATCCCCTCGAGTCGTGAAGCTAACAGCGATGCACAATCCCAGACTTTGCCCCCACGGCGTTCCAGAATCTCTTATCGCAAGCCGCAGGCGATCGGGGGACGTTGGATTTCGCCGGCCGCCAGCGGTCGGTCAACAGTATCGTCCTCCTCTGCAACGGCATCTCGTTTGCGATCCAGGTGGTCGTCTTCCTGGCCATCGGCAGTTTCGCCGACTTTGGGAACTGGCGGCCGAACATCCTGATCGTGCTGTCGATCGTCGCGTGGGCGATCGGCTTTGCGTGGCTGGCGGTCCACGAGGCGGACAAGTGGAGCGTCGGCGTGGGGTTGTACATCGTCGGGCTGATCGCGTACCAGACGACGCTCACCTTCTGGACGGCGGCGTTCCCGGGCCTCGCCAGGAACACGGTCGAGATGCGCGATGCGGCGGAGGAATATTCCGCGGGGCGCATCTCGCGGGAGGAGTATGATCATGCGGACTCGATGAAGCGCACCCAGCTGTCCAATGTGGCCTTCTACGTGCAGTCGGTCAGCGAGCTAGTCATTCTCGCCATAATCGTGGGCATTATGTTCGCCTTGCACGTCAATGCGAGCGAAGCGAACAACAACTGGGGGTTGAGCGTTCTGATCGCCTTCGCCAGTGGCGTCTGGCTGCTGGTGTCGTTACCGTGGTTCGTGCTGGAGAAGCGCCGGCCGGGTCAGGACCCTGAGGGAAA